AATTGATAGCAATAATATTTAAAATATCTTTTTTTTTAAAAAAAATAATTTTATTTTAGTTTTTTTAGTAAAGTAATGCTTTATTTATTATTAAATCAATATACAACAGAATAATTAAAATAGTATAAAAAGTTAATTTATATTATTCTTTACTTAATATAAAAAAATTATAAAGATTAGTTTAAAATTTGAATGATTTTTATTAGAAGCAATTATTGATTTTTATATTGGTGTACCAATCTTTTTGCACCAGTCCATAATAAAATATAACTCATTTATAATCAAGATTGACCCCTGAATATGTTGTTCTAATATTTATATAATTAAATTAATAATAAATTTTTTGTTCAAACTGCTCAAAATTATTCAAGAGTCAACTTTTTCATAATATAATAAATTATTAGTTTTAATAAAAAACTTAGAAATATTAATTAATTTTTTTATAATAAAAGAAGTAAAATAAATTATTTTTAAATTATTTTTCTTATATTGAGAAATTTTTTGTATTAAGAATTACTAATATATAGAAATTTATATATATATTTTATTATTTCTCTGCTAATTTACTTTTTAATATAAGTATTAACTTTAAGACTATAATCAGTCACTTTTATTAAATTTATAATTAAGAAATTATAAAAATCAAATAATTTCTATTATTTTTATTATTAATATTTCATTATATTTATTTTAATATTTTAATTATTTTTTCTTTATCAAATTATTTGAATAATTTAAAATATAAATCTAATATTTAAGTTATTAATATTAAAAATTTATTTTTATTATTATTATTATTTTTCTTATTTTGTTGATATATAATTTCTAAAATTTTATCTATTTATTACTTTCAAAAACTGATTCATATTTTATTTGCTATAATAAAATAATAAATAATAAAAGTTTTTCTATTTAATTATTGATTTTAATATTAAATATTTTAGTATTATCATATAATAATTTAATAATTATAATAACATCAGATTTTATTATGCAAGTATAAATGAAATAAGTTATTAAAAATAATGCTGAATTTTATAAAAAATTCTGTTTTTTGAAATATTAATCTCATATAAAAAGAATAATATGTTTTCTTTATTATAATATAAGAAAATATTCCAATTTTTTAATATTAATATAATTTTATTAAGTTTAATATACAGTGACTCCTATAATTATGGAATCAAAAGATCAATCTTATAAATAAAAAATTAAAAATTTTTCTTTATATTAAAATTTATAATTTTATTAAGAAATAATTTTTATTTTTATATCAAAATAAAGTTTATAAGTTATAATTTAATATATATTTTTTTCAGATTCTTAGACTTTTTTCTGAGATAGTTTTTCTAATTGCAAAGTTATTACAAAAAATTTTTTTCTAATTAAAAATGAATTTAATTAAAAAAAATTTTAAAACTTTGCAATTATAATAACACTAAACATTCTAAAAAAGATTATATTTACTATAAATTATAAACTTTATTTTGATATAAAAATAAAAAATTATTTTTTAATAAAATTATAAACTTTAATATAAAGAGAAATTTTCAATTTTTACTATAAAATTGACTCCTGATTCTGAGAGTCACCATATATACAGTATATATATATATATATATTGTATATTACGTCATGGGAAAATCATGCATCATGTCAGATTACAATAATTTTTTCATAATCTTGTGTCGCTATATCATTTTTGATGAAGTCGATTCAATATAATTTATAGAATCACGTAAAAAAAGGAATGAGAAGTTAATTTATAGGATTACGTAAAAAGTAAGGTTATATAAAAAAGGAATAAATTAAATGGGACGTCAATAATAGCTTCATTTAGCAGAATGGATTATAAAAAGAGAAACGAACGCATAATATCACAAGTTTCCATAAAAGGGCCCAAATTTCCCAAAAATCATCACAACCTTGCGCAGAAATTGCATATATCTCACACAAATTTGCCTTTATCATCATCGTCTCTGAACTCAATGTAGATTCTTGTGAAAGTTTTCTATATATCTCTTCTGATGTAAGCAACCTAATATAACCTCGTTTGAGTCAGAGTTGAGATATATTGCCGACAATAAATCTAATTAGAACATAGAAAGTATTTACATAAGCAGGATTTCGAGATACCTGATGAATTTTTCCGTTACCATGGCTGGGGTTATTGTCGTTGTCCAAAAGAGATTTAGTATTTTTATTTAATAAATAATAACAATTAAATTTTTAAAAATTGTTCTTTTTATTCATAAATAACGCGATTCATTACGATTGATCAGAAAACAATAATGATATTTTATTTTTATCGTGATTTTCGCATGGGGATATCTCACCATTCGATTCATTTTATAGAACGAATTTAATGATGTAAACATTGCTCCAATTTAATTTTTCTGATGCTTTAAAACACACTTAGATGAATTAAAAAAATTGATGATTGCAGTAAATGCACTTGTTTCTGCAAAAACGATTGCTGAATCATCATCAACTTAGAAATTTGCAGAAATAAAGTTATTTATAATCTAATAAAGTGGCTGTTTTGAGAAGTTTTACGAATGTTGAATATTATGTTTTGAAACATTTTACAAAACTTCGTTGCATGAACTCATATAATCGGAATCATGTAAAAAATAATTTAAACGATCCAATGATAAGTATTTGTTGTGTTAAATCATTTTACGTGATTCAAAGAGAATTTCCGATGTAAGCTTTTCAAATTGATTCAGAACTAAAATCCAGCTAAAAATTAATACTTGATGGTGTTTATTATTCTCAACCATAAAGAATGGCTTGAGATCAAAAATCAAGCCTTCTACCAATATTATCGGGCTCTGGTACGAATTCACAGAAAGGAACTGTGATGGAGATATATATTACCTCATACTGAAATAAATTGCTTTGATCTTACCCGGCTTAGCAAATTAGGCGTTATGAGTTCAGAAATAAAATTTTTTGGGATGTTTATATACGAGATTGTGATTGGAACGGCATTTCGTAAAACAGACAGCTGATAAGGAACTTGACTAGTTTATTGACTGATACACGATAGTGAATACAAAAACTGAGATAGGAACCGAATACTTTGCATTTATAGTATCACTTAGGATGTACTAAAATAGATGAAGTGCCCTAAATTAAAAACCGGAGATGGATCGCAAAAAAATCTTGATGACGAGAAAAATTAGTCCTATAAATACGAATAGAATTTTCCCAAATACAGTTTACACTAGTCGAACCTTTATTTCAAAATTAGTTTCGATTTCCAGCTGATACAATGCGTAGAGATATTGCGAACTTTCGAAGAATCCCGATTAGAATAAAAAGCATTTGTTTATAACGATTTTCTATTTAATGCTACTACATGTATAACGATATTGTTGAGCCTGAGCCGATCCATTATTATATAGAGAACTTTAACTGTAACTCGAAAGATAAATCAGTTTATTCATATGCTTGCATAAAATTTACCTTTGTGTACTTTATTCAATACGAACACAAGCCTAATCTATCAGATTACCTTTTGGAATTCGGAATAATATGTAATAATGATCCGGTTTCATAAATCAAACCGATTTAACAAGGAATGTATATCTGAATAATAAATAACTTGTAAAGAAAGTTGATCTCGACACATACGCGCGTTAAAGATTTGCCAACAATTTATAAAATAATCTGATTGGCCGAACATAAACGGTATACAGCACATGTACTTTAAAAGTATTGTCTGATTTCAAATCATGAAGTGAGGAGCGCGCAACAAGTTATATAACACGTTGGTGCATAGATCGAGTAAGCGTTGAAAATTAGCTGAGAAAACATATAGCAAGGGGAAAATTATAAGATCATGGGTAGACTTCGTACCGTTATAGTGTCCAGTTTATTGCATTTGATTTTGCAAACCGAAAAACGGGATAACCAAATTTAAAAAAAATTCGATAACTTTAGGCCACAAAATCTCGACGTAAAACGGTCTAATTTGATTAAAAATAGGACTATTGGTTAGACAAATCGAATGGTCCTACTTTTGATTAAATTAGGCTGTTGGGCGTCGAGATATCGTTTACTGAATTTTCAAATTTGATCATCTGATAGTAGATCATATTATCGGTATTAAGTAAACATACGTATATCACGGAATTTCTCTTTTTGATTGACTATTCTACATGCTCATTATACAGTATAATGGCATCATAGGGACTATTCGTCATCGGTTTTAAGAAGATCAGGATGCTATGAGTGATTCTGAGAATTTAGTCATTATAAGGAGTTTAAATAGGAATCTCATTATATGGAGTCAATATCGAATGGAATAAGATTTGGTCAAAGCTATGAAAATTACTTTAATATCTATAAGGAAAAGCTGCTTTTTCTTAGCATAACTAAAACAGCTAAAGAGCATTGTTTAATTTTCTCCAAGAATGCGAGAAAAATATTGAATTACAAACGTTGGTGCCGATATGGCTGATGAAATTACCGACAAACATTGAGATGGTTTTTCAATAATTATTAACGTAATCGTTATATTCAAGCAATTTATACAAGCAGATTTAGTAAGTCAGTAATTTGTATAGTGCGCCCGGTCTAAAGACAAATAAATAATCCTTAATCTATAACATCTATATTTTTTAGTTTATTTATTATAAAAATTATTTGTAATTAGGTTTTTTTAACAAACGCCCAAAATATCGCGGAATTTTAAATAAAAATTACATGATGGTTTTTTCAAATAAAATCCTATTTTAGCATTACATATGATCCCTTATTTAGGGATGATAAGTCTTCCAAAAAAATTCATCAGTGGCGCGCGGTAGTTCTGTTTTATTTATCCTAAGTGATATGAGATTTGTATCATTTATACACGTTTGGAACACTGATTATTTATATTATAAGTCTTTAACTAATGCATTTATTTTTAGAATATATGTTTGCTTAAAAGAGTATTTTTAGATTTATAGTATAAAAAAGTTTTTATAATTCAGTTTTAAAGAAATTTTATTCTAACAATATTCTTTGTTATCTGTAATGTTAAATATACACGTCGTCCAAAAGGATCATTATACCGAGTGCTTACAAAGAACTTTCTTATAGGTAAATGCCTTTTATTTGAAGGGGAATATTTCATTATCTGTGGAAGAAAATCGTAATATACTAGCATCGACCAATAAAAAATTATCTATCGTAATACATGGACGTTGAATACCTCTTCCGGAAATCGGAGTGAAATGTGGCTGAATACATGTACATATACATAGTATATAACGCCATTTACATGTCTATGACATGATATTTTACAAGGAAGTACAAATACCAATACAAGTACATGTCATGTAATTGTAAATTACGCAAATAGGACACGTATTACATGTAATTCTATATATAAGTGCATTATATGTATTACAAAATTGATATTATTCAGCAATACGTTCACTCAAAATCTCAACATGAGTGGAAAATATTTTTCGAGAATTATAAATGTTTTTAGTTAATAAATGATGATGATTGCTATTTTTATTTGGTATCGGTATATTGTTAGTTGTTGGTGCGGATGAAGGAAATAAGTTTTCAGCGTTATGTGAGAAGTCTCTTGAATGTCCTTTTCGTGGCGATGAACTCATAATAAATTCTTCCTCGGATTCTGAAGACGAACTTTCTTCAAATTCTGGTTCCCATTCTTCTTCTTCGATTTCTCCACTAGTTAACTTGTTGAAATCAGAATTTTCGATTAAGCCGTTTAATTTTAATGCTGAGGAAACTCTTCGTAAAGCTTTCCCAAAAGTATCAATTATTGGTTCATTTTCACTAGATAGAGATGGTGAACGAGAATGGTGACGACTATGATTATGACCATGTTGGTGGTGATGATGATGGTGAACGCGAGTATACGCAGATGGGTTATTTAACATTTCTTCAGCTTGGCTCACAGAACTTGGTCTACTACCATCTGATGAGGAACAAGAATTTGATCTAGGACGTAAATAAGTATCAAACGCCGGTGGGTGTCGCAAGTGTTTTATTTTATGTCGTTTTCTACGTTTTTCATGTTGTTCTTGCTGTTGTGGTGCTAAGTAAATTGAGTGTGTTGGTGAAGAAGAGTATGCCATGTTGTTTGTATTATGATGATTATTAGTGTTTTCTGCTGTTAAATCTGAGCCGGTGGTGGTTTTCGATATTTTTATCATGTTTTTATTCGAAATGATATATGAGAGAAAAGTCTCAAAAATTAGTAGATTAAGTTTAAAATCTCGAAGCAATAGTAATGCTATTAGTTTGTTTATTGTTGTTTGAAAAAAATAAATTATTGTTGGAACGGTAAACAATCGTCATCTCTTTTATATCTTATTCCGCTGAATTTCAGGAGTCTGTCGCAGCAGAGAAGAATGTTATAATTCGGAATTTTTCGTCCCTATAAAGAAAAATGAACATCTATTACGGCGTGCACAGTTGAGCTTCGATTACATTGATACACGTAAATGCATGAAAATGATCGTTGAATGAATTGATATCAAATTAGTACGTATTCCTTTTTTTTATGCCGAAAACTGATGATCTTTCTTCTAAATATAGCAGATCTGTGATAAAAATTGTCGTTCGTTGATGGTTTCCTTTTTTCATTTATTAAAAAATACCGTGCCGTGTCCGCCAAACGAAAAATGCAAATCTCCATGTAGCCCATATATAATGCGCCTATCAATATTAAATATATGTATGCTAGACGAATGCGAGTAAATTTTATCGTTGACATCATTTTAGAAAGAGTATTAGTAATGCCAATCCAACAAAATGCATTCATTAGTTTCCGCGAAAATACTTCTGTTTCATCTATTACTATTGATATTGCAAATGCACAATACATTATATTATGATGTTATTTCAAATTTCACACGAAAAAAGGGGACAAAAAGATCTAAAAACCAAATTTAACCTTTAAACGTAATTTCGACATGCGCTGCTGTTCGTGGCTTCCGTATTCTTTATTGCGTTTCCTTTTTCAGACCATTAATGTTTGATGTAATTCCAATATTGAAGTCAAATCATATCACATGTTTCCTCAATTTTTTAATAATAATTTCCGTAATCGGCAATAATAATAGACTTTACATTTTACGATACAAATTATTTATGTCAAACTTCGTACACAAATGACAGTGCACTTTGATCCTATTGAGAAAATTTGTACGTTCAGTATGATTTTTCTCGAAGCAATTTGTGCTCAATTTTAGCGCCACATTCTTTATTCGCAGTAAATATTTTGTTCACATGCACATAACGCAGCACTTGACAATTACCTAAACTAGACATTCCGGGCAATAATTAAGCTCTGAATGAATTCAATTTGAGAATGTTTAAGAAAGTAGTGAATACATAAATGAACATGTTTAAGATTTTATACTTAGATTGTTTAATCCCAATATTAATATAGAAGAAACAAGTAACTTTAATACATCAAAATAATTATATTTTGTCCGGGAAAAGAAAAAGTTCTCAAAATACACTTGTCATTACATTCTTTTTATTCTTCTGTCTTTTATATTTTAAATAATAATGCTTTGTATAATACCCTTTTTCTAAATAAAATTCAAAAGCAAAATTACCTCACAACATTCAATCATCGTGCAGTCAACAACGTTAAGCCTTTATAGGAATCGATCAGTTAATCAGTAGGTTTTAAAGTTTTCAGTACCCGAACCACATATGGTTATATTTCTGCAAAATAAAAATCAGTAGATGCAAAATAATTTAAATATGTCAATTAACGAATCAATAAGCATTACTTTATCCGCAGAAACAAATATCGATTATTAGGGATTGAATATATCATATATCAGCACCCGGATTATTTTCAGTTTTTTATATTATCTACTCGTTTATTCATATTTGCATAAATTAATAAATCGCGATGCAAGTTATCTAACGCTTGGAAATTCGAAGAACCGAATTCCGACATTTGATCATTGCTTTTATACAAATATAGCATTTTTGAATGTTTCTGGTTAAAGCTCCTCATAAAATCCAATATGAGCTATTGCAATGTCTTTTCTCCGAAATGTTTATTCCTTACTCCCTAAGAAAATTTACTTCCTAGTCATTTAATTCTCGCCTTCGAAATCCTTCCTCAATAAATCAACTTTCCACGTGACGTTACGTTACAAGTCGCGATCTAGAGGTAGAACAAAACGCCCAATAGTACGCATATGATAACAAATTAGATATTTAATTACAATGTTATTAATAATTTATCTTGGTTCTTCAAAAAATTTCATATTTTAACTCAGTGTATCAAATTATTTTAAATATAATTTAAAGGATTCTGAATTCAAAAGTTTACTTTTTGAATGATATCAACATTTACGTCGTTGGGTTTAATCGCTGCACTTCTGTCTTTTATCAAGCTTAATTGAATACTGTTACAGATCTTGCTCTCATTTTTGCTATTAAGATGATGCCAAATCCTCCTTAACTAAATTTCGTGTTCAGTTTAAGGAAGCCACCCAAGCTAACTATTTAAGTCAAATAAGCCAAATTCAATGTGAGCTGTTTTGATTACATCATCAGCACTCGAACATTTCAAGTTAGTCACTTTTTAGGACTCAAAAGAAAGTTATGCATCCCAACACAAAGTTTTTTATAATACAAATTCTGAGCCGGCCGGTGTTTTTAATTATACGAATTACAGTGTTGCAATATAATGTCTGTGGTAATAATAAACGATTTGTGTCAAGATAGATGCTCAAATGTCGTGCTTTTTTGAATTCTATCAACGAGTCAATATACATTAGATTATAATACTTTTAACAATTACTTTATACTTTTGAGAGAATCCCGAATCGCAACAAAATATATTCCGTAGTATAAAATATAATTTTATTGTAGTTTTAATTGCATACATACATTCTTAAATAAATTCTTATATACTAATGCCATATAAAAATAAATAAATAAAACTATACATATAACTATACATATATATATATATATTCATGATTGTTATCATTATTGTTATAAATCATTAAATAGAGAAATGTTACGAATATAACGTTATATGCTAACGTTTGTTTCGTATTGGAGTATTGTATGCGCCAATGAAGGCGTGAAAAGTTCAAATGATTAAATAAATAAATAAATAAATAAATTAAATATCGTCCAATCCCGGGCATATGCCAAGCAATTAATGCATTTGATTTGTTAACCCCGACGACGAACTAACAAACAAAAACTGTTCCTCCTCTTCATCTGATGGATCCCATTCATCTTCACTATCCTCATTCGATGGTAAAGTGGATGACGTTATATTGCTACTTCCATCTTCAATCCATGCCTCTATAATTCCTGTGAATCTTATTGCTGAAGAAACACGTCTTAATAATCCAGTAGTTCCATTCATGGATCCAGGATCACTTGAATTGTTATGTCTTAAATGTCTTGATGATGATGTTGTTGTTGTTGTTGTTGACGCTGTTGTTGTTGAGATAGAGTAACAAGAATCAATGCTATCGCAAGAAGATATTGATGAGATAGAGCCCGAACGATAATGTCTACTATTTAGATAATTATTAAATGATTGTGGTTTACGCAAGTGTTTTTGAAAATGTGATTTTCTTCGTTTATATTGTGTTTTGAAAAGTGTATTGTTCGACTCTGTGTATACGTTTTCGAATCTTTGTTGAGATTGCAAAGACATTTTTAGTATTTTTTTAAAAAAGCTTTATTGTTTTCGTTTGTAGATGCTTGTAAAATAATACTTTATAAATTTATCTGAAACTTTGCAGATTTTACTTTTTTACAAAGGATTTGAGAGATGACACTTCGTCTTTTTATAAACATTTTTTGTGCAAGTCAAATATTAATATACATGTACATCAAATACATTTTGACGTTAGAATGCACGGTGACCCGACTCGACGAGATGCCACCACATATCGATATATCTTAAGATGGAAATTACACAAATGATATGTGGATGGGGGAAAGAGTACAGCACAAGGATCAGAGATCTGAGTGGCTTAAATTTTTAAGGGGAAGTTTGATTGATCGATGTCGCTCACGTCATTACTACGAATTATTAAATTGGATATTCATGTGGTCAAGTATCAAAGGAAATTAACAAAACAAGAAGATTCCCATGTAATGCCAAGCCGTGAAAAATTATTCCATTATCGATGAAACTAATTATCAGAATTCCACTGTGATATTGTTATGCATCAAAACCTGTCCAATCGGATAATTGATTTAGTAAGAACATTATTAAGGATGTCGTCAGCCGAGAAAAGCACCTGCACACTATTTTCACCAGGATTAATGTGTGCAAATCTTTTTACCCTTTCACGATCATTGTGAAACAATTCAAACTAAAAATCGGGATAAAGTTATGATGTGTTTGATCTTGGTTTTATTAGCGCTGCAATTTGATGCTTGATATTAAAAAAATCAATTTTCTATTGCAATTGTTGTTATGACTTGGTCTAAACAAGAAATTTAAAATTAAAATAAAATAAAAAACTTTTAAGGAGACCCGGGACTGTTTGTTTTTTGTTTGTGTTATGTAATTTGATCATGATACCATAACAACAAATCGCCAGAAAGACGAAATTATCCTAGGTCGAAAAAAATGCGTTAAAACTACTTTCATTCCCAGTTTTATGTATGCTCGGCCTAGCCATGAACTTGATAGCCGAATGTTTGATATCTTCGGCTTTATCAAGCTCAATCTTACGCAATAATGACGGAATCGATTTTAGTAAAATAAAAAAATTCCTTATAAGTAAATAAAAATGAATAGTTACTAGAGAATCTGCAAGATACGCAAGAGGTTAAATTTTACATGTATACAGTATTTGAAAGTTAATCCGTCTTTTGATTATTATGCGTAAAAGGGATAGCCTTTTGACTTGTAAATTTTTTAATTTTTTATAAAATTTTTATTTCGAGTAATAATTACGAGATGAATCAAAAATTTTTTTTATTGTAAATATTTTCAATGCACTTTTATAATTAGGGTGAACCCTATAAATGGTAAATTTTATTTCCATTGTATTGGGAATAGAGAAAATTAAAATGAATAATTGTATCGAAATTTATATGTCACAGGTGAAAACAATTTTCTTTCACCTTAATAATAATTCTGTATATTATTCTGGGAAGGATTTGGGCGTTTAATTATATAATCTGCCGTCGATATTTTGTGATTGATTTATTTCCTGATGAATCCATTATATGATTTTAGCATTTCAAATTCCATCACTAATATCAAGTGTTCGTGCGATAGTTTGATTACGGCTAGCAAATACCTGTAAATGGAAAGTTGCTGATAATGAACAAATATCGTTAGCTGTTTTTTCATTTTTGTTCTCATGATTTCAGGTGCAACGTGAATTTATCTCCATAAAACCAGCGGACTAACATGGTTTTCTAGAATAAAGGATATTTCTTGTTTCAATTAGCTGATTCAACAGAAATATATTTATCAAGTCCGTTGCAGTATAAATTAATGAAATTGTTACAATATTAACAAAAAAAGAAATCCAAACATTAAACATCACTATCAAATTGATTATACAGAGTCGCCCTACTCTTTTAATCTTTATAAACACTTGTTAATTAAAATTTTTTTAGCACAACACGTCCAAGCATTAGCAATACGACATGATGTTTCATTGCCTTTTATGAATTTAATGTTAACTGCCTTTGTCAAAGTTGACAGGAATAAACTGAAGTGTAATTCTGTTGGTGGAAGGAAATTGATGGGACAAAGCATTCACACACAATTTCTGAAATAACCTTGAAGATTTAAATTGGATTGAAATATTAATTACTAAAACTGTATATTCGCTATTTCAGCAACAACAGATGAGCACTTATCAAACCCTCTAACAGTGAGTTTTTTATCTTATATTCTATTGAAATTTTATGGGGCGCGATGATGAAGCGTATAATTTATCTCATTCTTTTTTGACGAACAATATAATGTTGGGTCTAGTTGCAACAAAATAACAATAATAAAATTAATTTAAAGAATGGAATCTTTAATCGGTTCAAGATTTCAATAATGATTACATCGTCAAGATTATTTATTAGCCAAGAAATTTATGTGATAATTTAGAGCAACAAAAATAAAGAAGTCGCATTGACGGTATGTCTAATTTAAGCGTAATACGTGTGTAACCATTTTTTAAAATACATTTATAACAAACATCACTTTAACTTTTGCAACTTGGTCAACACTATAATTTCGGTAGGTTAAAAAATGAATCTACCTATACGCAGCTTAACGAAATTGAAAGGGGGAGATTTTGGCGTACATGGACATCACAAATCGCAAAAATACTCGGACGCGACCCTGCAACGGTATGCCACTTTCTAAACAAATATAAACGAACCAGATAAGTGAAAACTTATCACGTTCAGGAAGATTACCGGCCTTAAACAATCACGAAAAGGATTTACTTATACGTGAAGCTAGCGAAAAACGACATGCATCGCTACGCGAAATAGTCAACAATTTAGGCCTCACTTGTAGTTTATCAACCGTCGCAAATGTATTGCACAACTCCGGACT